ACATGCTCTGAGAACTGCACAGAATACCACAGATAGTGACCAAAACAAACCAGAAGACCTACTAATCCCTAGACTTCTCCCTGGTTTTTGGAGTGATGGTACATAAAGCAGTCGGTCTCCTCTGAGTTGAGTTCCTAGGAATAGTTTATTAGAGTACTTCTTACTAAGTTCCCCAAAACACGGTATGAGAGTTAGATTGGATTTACAGTAGAAGAAATTTTCACCAAATCAACACTGTTCCTCCTCTTGCCTTCGCCTCTGTTATGAGCAGGTGTCCTTGAGGCATCTGCTCCAACTTTAGGCATTGCTATACAGAGGAGCTACAGACTGAGTCTTGGCCTAGATGACTGTGGGGGTTCGTGCTAACTGTCAGCGTGCTGAGCTCTAGAATCACCTGGAAAGTGGGCTTCTGGGCACGCCGGTGGGAGACGCTGTTGATTAGATTAATTGAGGTGGTGATTAGATTAATTAATTAAAAGACCTGACCACTGTGGATGGTACTGTTCCCTGGGCTGGGTCCTGGAATAAATGAAATGAGGAAGTGGAACTGAGCACAAGCATTCCTCAACATCCGCTTCTCATTATTAATAGGATACAACCAGCTGCGTCAAGCTCCCGCTGTTTGGCTTCCCCGCCATGATGGACTGTACCCTTGAACAGAGAGCCAGAAGAAGCCCTGCTCCCTAAGGTTGCTTTTGACAGGGCATTTCATCACAGCAATAAGAATAGAAAATAAGACAATATTCTAAACACACTGACCCTGTGGCTGGACAAATAAGCAAAGTCACAAAGCTGGGAGGATTTAATTATAAAAGGAGATTAGGAAATTTCAGATTCTAAATTCTGAATGTCTAGTAGTATCTACTGTTCTACTTCAAAATAATGTCTCATCACCCAATAAATCATCCAATCCCAAGTGGTTGGTCTTAAACACATGTGTATATGAGCAACACCAAATGGACTCAGTAAGTTTTATATATGCATGTTTGTGTATTGTGCATAGCAATATATATATAGTTATATATATGTAATAATAATAAAGAAGAAAAGGTCGTGAATTTGAGAGGGGGTGGGGGGCATGGGAGGCATTGGAAGTGAGAGAGGTAGGGTGGAAATGATGTAGATTCAGCACTCATCTATGAAATTATCAAAAAATTTAAGGTAAAAATACAGTTAGTACCTAAATGAACAATTACAACTATTTATTATGTAGAACATAATTTTTGTAATATATACACATCGCAAAGTAGCCAAATTGAACTGGCAAACATGAATTACTTAGTACAACTGTCAATTTTTCCATCGTGGAAAGATGTACAATCTTCTCTTTTTGATCCTCAGAAATGTACGTATAGGGACAACAGTAATTGGACTCAGTGGGTTATTAAGAAAAAAAGGAAAGAATATGTAGTCAGCAGGGGGGCCTGCTGGGAAGTCCTAAGGGGATTTGGAGGTGGGTACTGGGATGGATATGCTCAAAACACATCGTATACCTGTATGAAATCCTCAAAGAATAAATTAAAAATACTATAAAAAAATAATGTCTTATCTCTCTCAAACATGAATGTTTTTTTCTCACTTAAATTGAAGCTGGTTCCTGAATAGTTAGCTCTTCCCATGATTCTGTCCCACTGATTTGGGAAGAAGGCTTTCCTCTAACAAGATCTCTGTAAAGACCTCCTGGCCCTGACGTAATTCACGCTGACTTCTTAGCGCTGTTCTCAGCCATTGGAACACTTGCAGGTCAGGAGAAGTCAGTTCTACCAGCTCAAGAAGTTGACATTGACCTCCTCCCACAGAGAAGGTCTAACAAGCTCATGAGGACCTTCATGCCACCATCCCCCATGTGAACAACCACAGCAACCGACCAAAACAAGCTCCACCCAGTTTTCTCACTGGCAACGGGCTAACTGTGTTAGTTGTCTCAGCACCATGAGCAAACACCCGCCAAAAGCAACTGAAGGAAGGAGGGGCTTATTTTTGCTCATAGTTCCAACGGGTACGGTCCTTGATGACGACAAGGCATGGCAGCAGGTGCTTGAGGTGGCTGGTCACATTGCAGCCACAGTCAGGATGCAGAGGGAGATGGATGCCCCTGTCCAGTTTGCTTACTCTTTAGTGTTCAGTCTGAGATGATCCCAGCCCATGGAATGGTATCACCCACCTTTGGGGTGGATCTTCCCCTCTCAGTAGAGCTGGTCTAGATAATCTCTCACAGATGTGCCATGGTGATTTTAAATTCCACCAAGCTGACAATTAAGATTAACCATCACTCTGCCGGCAGAAACTCTGGGGCACAGTCTCATTGTTTAATATCTTGAAGTCCCCCAGAGGGTCATTCATATACTGGAGCCTAGGTCCTCAGTGTGGTGGTGATGAGGTAGTAGAGGCTGGTGAAAAATAATCAGGGTGTGGAGGCTCTGCCCTATATGCAGATTGATGCTGGGTTAATGAATCCCACCTTGCCATGTGACCTCCTCAACATGCACATCCACCATTGTGAAGCCATCTACCATGAGGTCCTCAACAGACCAGGTAGATGGCAGGATCATGCTCTTGAATCCCTAGACTCCTGATAAATAAACCTTTCTCCTTTACAGTGTACCCTGCCTCTGGTATTTTGTTATAACAACACAAAATTAACAAAAGCAAAATCTAATGGGGAGTTGTTGCTTAATCAAAATAAAATTTTGGAAGTAGATAGTGATAATGGATGCAGAAGATTGTAAGCATACTTTAAAAAAAAAAGTACTACTTGGAACCCACGGCAGGTGTATTCTAAACACATGCTGTACCAATGACCTACATCTCCAGTCCAAGATCAGGCATGTACTTTATGTCATCAAATTGTACACTTAAAAGTGTCCAGTGGTAAGCTCCATGCTATGTCTATTTTAAGACATACACATATACACACCACACATTCGGGGCTTCACTGCTGCTGGGGTTTTTTTGTTAGCTTTTGTTTTGAGATAAGCTTTCATGTAGCTGCAGCAGTCTTTGAATCACTAATCACCTGGCCTCCATCTCCTGAGTGCTGGAAGCTGCTGGCTCTATGTGAACAGTAGTTCTCAAAATGCTTCCCAACATCCAGCTTGGGGCTTTGCCAGCATTCGAGTTTTTCAAGAGCCAGGCTTAGGCTTCCGGCATATTTTTGCCATTCCTATGACAAATGAAAAGGAGATTAACTTCCCCCAATCGCTGCCTGTGTCTCATACAGTTGGAAGAGAGATGTAGCTGCTTAAGAGCTCAAGGATGCAGAATGGCCTGGGATGGGTGTCTGCACATTTGGAGTTAGCCTGATTTGGTGTCTGCTTCCTTGTGCTCCCGCTAAGTGGTAGCTAGCAGGATCCTGATTTGTTAGACTTAATCTAGAATTATGACAACACAACCTCAATTAGCTGCCAATAGTTTTGAACATCCTTTCCTGATCAATCATGTCTTTTTCCTGTTAGCCCGCTACAGCCTTGTGACCCAAGGCTCTGGAATGGATCAACCCGCCTACGTCTGCACACAGCTCTGTGTCTCCATGGAAACAGCTTGTCAGGCCCTGCTTGGCTGCAGGTACCGAAGACCTCTCATTTGCAGCCTGGGTTCCACACAGACTCAGTCTTAGCAACCAGGCAGGTGTGAGGAGCCTCATCTTTTCCAGCCGCCAGGGTCTGGGACCTCATCAAGCCTCTTTTGCATTGCACCAGAAAGCCCCCAGCTCCACTGGCATCCAGGTGGTCCTCAAGGGAATGGAAGGGTTTCTGCCCCAGGCTCCTCCCAACAGGTCTTCCTTTCTTGCTGTTGCCCCCACCTATCAAACCTAGAGTCATCAGAATGCCTGCCGCGCCCACCTGAAGCAACAGCGTTGTGCCTCTCAGACCCTCCTGTCTGCATCCCTGTTGCCTCTGGTGTTGCCTGGGCCGGCATCGTTTCCTTGTCTCAGGACTGCAGAATTCTCCACACTGGTCCTAATAGTACGGTGCACACAGTCTCCACCTTACAATCACTTTCCAAAAACGAACACAGTAACATGTCATAGAAAGAGGCTTTGGAGGGTAGGAGAGGCAGGATAGGGGGAGACTGAATAATGCATGCCAGTTAGAAAGGAACGAGAGCACAACAGGCTGGACACAGTTTACAGCAAGTTACTCCATACTTTATAAAGAGCGAGAAGAGAGGCGTTTGCAGGCTCTGAGCACAGGACGTGACAGATGTCCAATGAGATGGAAAGGCCGATCCTGCTGATTTGATCAATGCACATTGCATATATGGACTGAATCGTCGCACTCCACCCCATAAATATAAGCAATTATTACATGCCAATTAAAATCAGTTAAAAATAAGATATTAGAATTAAAATGTCAGAATTTGATTATACCTATCATGGATTTTTTTTTCTCCTGTGTATGTTAATTCCTATATAATTCTATGCAAAAGGGAGACCGCTTGAGTACTCCACAAACTATGGGCTGGACATTGTATGTTAGGTATTATAGAAATAAGATTGACTATGAACAGAGTCCTAACTTTATTATTAATTATAATTTAATTATAATTATAATTTATTATTAATTATAATTAACTTATGACTTCCTTTAGGATTCTGATTATGTCTGCTGGGAAAGCCAGAGTCAGGATGAAGCCTATTTTTTGAAGTATTCGTTTCTTTTTAAAATTTATTTAAAAAACCCAAAATATTATTAATGGGAAATAAAAAGAGTAACTCACACTTTTCCCATAGACATTTGTATAAAGTTTGTTTGATTAAAAGCCAGATATAGAGCTGGGAATGAAGCTGTGTGGTACATGTGACCCTAGAGTATGGGGAAATGCACACACACACACACACACACACACACACACACACACCCCACCCCTCTCATGGGCTAAGAGAACAAACATCTGTTAATGTCCTTCCCTCATCCTAGGACAGCTAGTGGCTCCCACTTCCCTCAGATAGACTTCAGGCCCTGTCAAAGACAAGCCAGAGCACACCGTTATGGACTGACCTGGCTCACCTCCCAGACACGTCCTCTCTCATCTTCTCTGACGGCAGCTGCTCATCTTCTGTGCTTCTCCCTGGCCTTTGCCCCTTGGCACTGCTTCCTGCTCCTGGCTCCATGGTGTGTCCTCTTCTTGCATGTCCTGATTCCATTTCTGCTGCTGGGATGAACTACCTTGACCAAAAAGCAACGTAAGGGAGAAGAGGTTCATTCTGGCGCGCAGGTCCGGGTTATAGTGTATCATTGCAGTGGATTCGAGGCAGGAACTTGAAGCAGTCAACTCATTACATCCACAGTCAAGAGCAGAGAAAGAATTGAGCCAAGCTTGCTTACTTATGCTCAGTTCCCTCCCTGTTTATTCTGTCCAGGACCCAAACCCAGGGAACAGCATTGCCCACATTCAGGGTGGGTCTCCCCCTCGTGAATGCACTTAGGAAAAGCCTGTCACAAACACACCCACTGGCCAACCTGATTGTGTTAGTTACTTTTCTGTTGCTGTGATTAAAACACCACGATGGGGGCTGGAGGGATGGCTCAGTGATTGAGAGCACTGGCTGCTCTTCTACATGACCTGGGTTCAATTCCCAGCACCCACATGGCATCTCACAATTGTCTGTAACTCTAATTGCAGGGGATCTGACACCCTCACACAGACATACATGCAGGCAAAACATCAATGCACATAAAATAGAGACAATTTTTTTTTTTTTTTGGTTTTTCGAGACAGGGTTTCTCTGTGCAGCTTTGCGCCTTTCCTGGGACTCACTTGGTAGCCCAGGCTGGCCTCGAACTCACAGAGATCCGCCTGGCTCTGCCTCCCGAGTGCTGGGATTAAAGGCGTGCGCCACCACCGCCCGGCGAGACAATTTTTTTTAAGTTAAAAAAACCCGCCATGATCAAGGCAAGTTAGAGAAGAATTTACTTGATCGTATGACTCCAGAGGCGTAAGAGTCCCTCATGGCAGGCGTCTTGGCGGCAGGTGGCAGACATGGCGGCAGGAATAGCTCCCATCTCAAACAGCAAGCAGCAAGCAGAGAGAATGAACCGTAAATGACATGAGTATATTATGCTCTCAACGCCGACCTCCAGGACATAAGATCCACACCTCCTAAGCCTCCCAAACAGCACCACCAACTGGGGACCAAGTATTCAAACATCTGAGCCTGTGGGGGAATATCCTCATTCAAACCACTGCACGGATCTGGGCAATCCCTCATTGAGACTCCCTCCCAGATGGTTGTACATTGTGTCAAGTTGTCAACAGAAACCATCGTAGCATCCTTTTGTACAATCTCTCACACATTTTGAAGGGCTATGCTCTCCACTATACAGTTTTGAGTTTCTTAAAGTTTTTTTTTTCTTTTTTTCTTTTGAGACAGGGTTTCTCTGTACAGCTTTGTGCCTTTCCTAGAACTCTGTAGCCCAGGTTGGCTTCGAACTCACAGAGATCCGCCTGGCTCTGCCTCCCGAGTGCTGGGATTAAAGGCGTGCGCCACCACCGCCCGGCGTGAGTTTAAGTTTCAAGTGTCTCTCCCACAGTTTCCTACTTGCCTTTCTGCTGTGGAGGGCAAGATGTGTGCCCACCTCCAGCTCAGTGCCCACCAGTTACTCAGATGCCTGCTGCACAAAGGGAGAATGGCAGGAGCCTCTGGAATAACAATGTCACCCCACGCTGATGGCACACGGGCCCTGTTTCAGGGTCTCCTTTGGCTCCGGAGCTCCATACTCCACCAGCCTAGGCCGGCTGCACCTTAGCCACACGCCAAGGCACTGCAGCACAGGCTGCTGGCCACTGTGCTTTGGGATACTTCTGTAAATGGGTCACTGCCTCCGCTCAGCTCTGGCTACACCACTGGTCGCCTCCTTCTTTCTAAGACACCTGGGAGGTCTGCAGCAGCCTTGGGGCTGGGCCCATATGGCTATGGCAGCAGCTGGAGAGCCATTCCTAAGAGCTGAGATAAGGAGGAAGCTTTCTCCTGGAGTCCCAGAAGATTCCTTTCTTGCTGGTGGTACAACTTCACCCAGGCAACGCTTTCCTAGGGGAATCCAAGATCTGAATCACAGTGAGAGGAGAAAATAGCCAGCCATCTCAGGGATGGATACGACCTGTCCAGTGTCTCCAGGAGACAGGACTGTTTGGTCTTGTTTGATTTTGTTCTGTCGGGGGCTTGGGGTTAGCGGTAGTGGTAAGTAACATATGTTTAGACAGCAATCGGAGGGAGGGGTGAGTGGATGACGACCCTTGTCTCACCGAGTACGACAGTTGATCTAGGAAAGAAGCCAGAGGCAGGGGCCCAGCCACATGGGCACACGATGTGGCGTGGGGCGGCAGGCAGCCTTCAGCCCCCATCTACTCACTTTCTCCTAAATCATCGCAGCTTTCGTCTTCTAGAAATGAGAGGCCAACTTTTGGCCGTAGACCTGGATGAGATGAAGAAAGAAGGGATTTTGTTTCAGTGTGAGCGGAAGGCTAGCTCAGACAGAGAGGGGGAGGAGCAAGCACAGGCCCAGTTCCACTTTGTCCACTGCAGTAAGTAAGCAAAGGAGCCATTAAACGAGAAAATGTATGTGAAGGCACTTAGCACGGTGTTTGGCAAATGCACAGGATTCAATAATATTGACTTGTTCATTTTACGTTCACTCAGTGGCAGGAGCTGTAAGGCAGATTTGTGTGTAGAGAGGGTAACGGGGGTAGCAGTAAGGGGTGGGGACATTCTCTACCTGGGGAGTTGATCAATTTTGCCATTAGATGTTCCTTCCTTTGACTCTATCGAAACCCCCAAATCCATCAGAGGCAAAAAAAAAAATCATCTTCCGATATTCCCTGACAGTGGTAGAGATAACATAAATGCATTAAAAACCATAGACGGGAGAGTGGTACAAAATTTCTAGTCAAGTTGAAGCAAAAACTGGTCAGTCTAAATGATGATACAAGTAGGCGTAGAGCTTGCACTGTAAAACAGAGCCAGGCCTGACAACAAGCCTAGAGTCCCAGCTACTCAGGAGGCTGAAGCAGGATGACGGCGAGTTCAAAGTCAACCTCGGCTATAAAGTGGGCTGAAATCCAACTCTGGCAACTTAATGAGATTGTTTCAAAGGAAAGAGTAAAATGAGTTAAGACGGCTCCATGGATAGTGCTCATTAACATAAGACTCTGAGTTTGGATTCCTAACACCCACATAAAAAGCCAGGTTCAGCAATGTGTGCCTATAACCCCAACACTGGGGGTGCTGAAACAGGGGGATCCCTGAGTTTTGCTGATCAGCCAGTCTAGCCAAATTGGTGAGCTCCAGATTCAGTGAAAGAATTAGGTGGGGAGTGATAGAAGATACCCGCCATGACCTCTGCCCCTCTCATGCACGCACACGCACCCACACCTACATATACATGTGCGCAAAAGTAGACACACACAGAAAGAAAACAAAACGTAAAAAAGAGGGCTGCATGTGGTCAGTGGTAGAGAGTTTACCTAACAGGCATGAGGTCCCAGGTTCGATCTCCAATACTGAAAAAGGAGGTTTCGTATGTGTGAACTTTAACAAGCCTAGCTTCCCAAGAGAGATGCGAGCACACAGAGAGGATAAGGAGACACCCAGCCATCTTGCCTCGATGCTACGGGGGTTTCATGCTTAGATGGTTAGGAGTGGGAGAATGGGAGATGAGTACATCTGCTGAAGGCTGAGCGAGAGACGGTGGAGGAGGCCAAAGGCTGGCACACATCATGGGCTCGTCGACACAGAAAAAGCTCTTCATGCACAGCCTCAAACTTTCCCGTGATTCTCAGAACAACCAGGACCGAAGACACTACAGAGAGTCCTTGCAATTGCCTGACAAACATTTGCTTAACCAAAAACAAACTAAGCACAGAACAAAACAAAACTGGAATTTGTCAACATCAGTCACCTGAGCCTGGCACAAGACTCGATAAAGCTATTGGATTAATATAAGCTCTCAGAGCAAACTGAGCATGGTGTGTGTTTGTTCAGCACTTGTACTTCCTCTTCCTGCTGAGCAGTTCCCCGCAACGTGTAGTCCTCTTTAATACTTCCTTCCACAGAGACGGAAGTGCATTGCAATAGAGGCTTGCTCAGTTTAGCAAGAAGACATTGTTCCCGAGACAGGGGCTCACTCTGTGGTCCAGGTAGGCCTAGAATTCACTGTATAGCCAAGGCTAGCCTCAAATTACACATCATTCTCCTGCCTCAGCTTCATGAATATTGCAGCTATGAGTGTGTGTCACAATGCCTGACTAAATTAACAAGAAAATTAATGTTTGCCTACAGGCTAAGTTTCCAAACTCCAAATTTAATAAAGATATGTATGGAAGACTTTATTCTCTTTATTATTATAATAAAGAGTTATCCTAAGTCAACAATTAAAAGGCAAAAGACCCAGTAGAAAAATCAGCAAAAGACTGACCTATCAAATAATAAGTGGGGATCCCTGTAACAATCAAACAAACAGTTTATTTATTTCAGGTTCTGCCTAAAAGTGAATTCTAAGCTTCCTGGTAATTTGAGCTAGATGAGACTTCACAGTCAAGGCTGAAAATCTATGAGGCCTGTTTCTTGTACTAATACCAAATATAAATCTTGCGTTGTTAACACCCTCCACTGGGAGTGATGCTAGGAAAGAGATCTGGAAGAACGTCCGGTACTGCCTGGGCCTTGAAGACAAATGTCATCAGCTGAGGAGGAGGAATGTGGAGGGCAGAGTTCCTAAGCTGCAGGTTGATTCCTGGGGACAGTAAGTCTTGCCCCTTTTCTTCAGAGCCCCTGGAGTCTTGTCACACCCCATGTGATCCCTGGGCTAGTGGGACCTCCAGGGAACTTACAGATGTGCAGAAGACAGCCTTCTATCCACATGTGATCCCTGGGCTAGTGGGATCTCCAGGGAACTTACAGATGTGCAGAAGACAGCCTTCCACCTGGCCTCTTGAACTGGAATCTGCATCACAGCCAGCCTCTAAGGTGACTGGGAGTCATAGGGCAGCCACACAGGCTTGTTCCTCACAGGTGCTTAGTAATCGCCGTAGGATGGGAAGTGCAGGTGGTCTCTGAGGAGCCTTTCAAAACTAAATCGTTGAATTTAATGAAAAGTGTCACACTCAGCCAAGTCGAATGTTCCCCACTTTACAAAGGGCTTTATGATTAATGAATTAATAACGGTGCCACGGTGCTGCTGTTCCTACAAGTGAATTTAGAGTTCTTATTAACATCCTTTCACTGGGCGTCTTGATAGACCCAGGAGGCATCACCAGGGATGACTCCATCTCTCATCCAGCCTTGCCTGTCTACCTCCCACAAGAGGGAAAGCATTGGGGGATGTAAAGTGGAGAGAATTGAGATGGACAGACAGACCTGAAAAGACTGGATAAAAGAGTACACATGGCCTAAGGACACTGATTGCTCCCTTCCTGTCTGTCTCCGGAACAGTCCATAAGCGTCCTCCTGGTACCATCGGAGGGCTTGTGTCTGGAAGGAAGGGTGGGAGGAGAGAAGGCAAAGACTAGAGAGGAAGGAAGGGCAGCTGGGTGTGGCTGGCTCTCCCTCTGACCCAGCACTTGGGAGGCAGAGACAGGCAAATCTCCGTGAGTTTGAGACCAGCCTGGTCTCTATAGCAAGTTCCGGAGCAGCCAGGGCTACATAATGACACCCTGTCTAAAAAGAAAGAAGGCGAGGGCGGGAGTTGCACCAAGATTCAGTGACCTTTGTGCCGTAATATAAGCAGACGTCTCCACCTTAATTCTCCTCCATGTCTGCCAGCAGTCTCTCTTCACTGAGCAGACCGTCTCGGTAGAAACCCACCCTCCAGCTTCCAGGCTGCCTCTGGATTTTGGGGGCTGCCAGGAAAGCTGTTAGATGCAAGGAAACAAAAGAGATCCGGGGATGGAGAGGCGTTCTGAGTTGGGCTAATGAGTGAGGTGACTCACAGGCTGACTCAGAGGCCTGGGAGAGGGAAGCAGTGGGGGGCAGACCTCAAGGGAGCCCTGCAAACCTGAGTGAGGAGGCCAGGGACATGGTGGGGTTTTGTTGTTATTGTTGTTTTGTTTGCTTGTTTTACAGAACTACTTGGGGCTCTAGATGGGGGAGCAGATCCTCAAACAGAGGGACATAGGGAGCTGCTTTTCTGCTTTTCTTCCCCGGAAGCTAGGTTGGGAATCTATAGCATTCAGTGCTTGGAGAGCTGTGGAGCATCCTGTGCTGACCTGAGCTCAGCAAATCTCAGGGCACACACTCAATAGGAATTAATTGTCATCAGGTCCCCAGGCAGTGAGCTGAATCAGATACCACCCTCTAGTTTTCTAATACTCTCCATTTGGGGGGGGGGGGAGGAAAAGGCTTCTTTTGATATTTTTTTAAAGTATTTTACATTTGAGAACATTGTGATCCAACCTGTGCTTTTAAATACATTTAAAAAAATGTTCTAAACATATGACTAAGGCATCTTCTCTTTCGTGAATGGCTAATTGAGGTTCTGAGATGGAAGAGTCCAAGGTCGTTGTTATGAAGGTTGGTACTTGCATTGCCCTGGGGAGGTTGTACCTAAAATGATATGGCTGCCTTCTACACAGTATATAGCTAGGTCTCCTGAAGATCACATGTTCGTGACATGCTCGATTGCAGGGACAGACTACCTAGGTGATGAATTTTCTTCATGTGTTAAATAAGCCCTGTAGGTTCAAACCCGCAGCCTCAGCCCGTTTAGTCAATGTAAACCCACTGAGCTGACTAAAAATAACTTTAGTTGATTACATATTTATATGTAATTTGATGGTTGATGTCTCAAATGTACTTCAGCAGAGCATTATGAGCAAAGGCAGGAGAAATTCTTGGCAGCTTGGCAACCTGTCACCTTTCACAAAAATGAAAAAAAAAAAAAAAAAAGCCATAGAATTTCAGCTTCCCTGGCCTCCAGCAGACAGTAGCAGTGTCGGCTGTTGTTAATTTCAGCCCTGGCTAACTACTTTTTCGTCACCGACATGTTGCCTGTATTTAGTGCTGGGTGTTTTGTAACATTCTAACCCCATCTGTCTGATAATTGGGAAAGCGCTGGAGAGCATTGGATGTGCTGATAAGAAGAGGCTTATTCTGGTGAAAATAAAAGAGATCGAAATAGTGAGAAAAGTCGTCAAAGCTACATGTGGGTAAGGAGAAACGGTTCACTTATCTCCACTGGTGATCGAACCCAGGGCTCTACCACGAAGTATTGGGCTCATCCTGAAAGATGGAGAGACTGAAGACATGTGGGAAATGCTGGTGGGCCTATGTGATGACCAGTAGTCTGCAAAAATGAAAAGCCATCTAAGAAATGGAAACACATTTGAATGTCTCACCAAGAAACGAGTAACCACACTGAATACCTGAAATCTAAATATGAATTCAGGTGAGGGCTGAAATTCCATGCAAGCATTTGGAAGC